AGCAGCACCCCCAGAGCCCCACACCCAGTGCAGGCCCCTCCCACCCCCCGCCGAGAGCCCTGTCCGGCCCTGGGGGGGTCACCTCACCCAACCCAGGACTCAGCCAGAGGTGCGCCCTGCCTCGGCTTCCCTGGAGCATCGCCCTGCGTCCCCCGTCAGTGCCCAGCTCTTGCCCCACTGTTGCTGTTTCTAAACAAGGCCCCCGTGGAGCCTGGACCTGCCCCTCCCACTGCTCCCACCCTAGGTGGGGTTTCCCTTGCCCCGCATTCACCGGGCTCTGGGGGGAGCCCAGGGACCGGGTGACGACTGGCCCCAGGGGAGAAACGCTGTTGTGGGGCTGGGAGGGAGAGAGGCGAGCGGCAGGGGGCGGCGCTGGCTCTGGGGAGGAAGGGACAGTCTGGCAGGGGGCAGGTTGCACCCAAAAAAAAGGAGAGCGCGCGCGAGAAGCCTGGGATTCTGGGGGGAGCGGAAACAGGATGTGGGGCAGCGACACAACCCGGCAGGGAAAAGCTCTGGGGCCCTACCGAGGGAGGCATCGATTCTACAGAGAGGGCTGGGCCCTGGGGTTGGGTGATCCGTGACCTGGAGCAGAGGGAGGGAGATGCGAAGACATAAACAGACTCCCCACAAGTGCTAGAGAACGTGCTCTGGGCCCCTGGATTAAAGGGGAGAAACAGGACGGGCAGAGAACACGACAGGGAGCTGGAGGCTTATAAAATGTTTCTGAGCATGAGACTGTCTTACTCATTCCACCCCATGGTTCAGGGGCAGGATTTCCACTGGGGCCCCTTTCGGTTACTTGGGCCTCTGGGTGGAGGAGACTGGGGTCCACCAGGGACTGGTCGACGCGGAGACCCGTGCTCTGCTGTCTCACCATGCAATAGCCTTCTTCCCACCCACGCTCAGTTCCCCTCCTGATGGGGGTATGAGAGCCAGCTGGGCCTGAGGACTCTCGGTGTGATCCCGAGCAATGCGCTGCGCTCCGGTGGGGCTCCTGGGGCACTTGGCTGTCACAGGCTCCAGCTCATTACATGTACATCACCCAGGTGCATCATCACGGCAGTGACGTGCATTGCTAGAGAAAGGGGCTGTGGACCAGAGGGTGTCTGTGACTTCCCTGGGTGGAGAGGGCTCCTCTCTGCAAGATAGGCCCTGGGAATGTCCTCGGTGGTCCCTGGGCGCCCCTTCTGGTACCACCTCGAACGACTGTCAGTTTTGTTCCTTCCCGTCTCCTCCAGCTACCTGGCTCCAATCTTCCCCGCCTGCCTCTGTTATGGTTTTAGGTTTCCCCTCTCAGCTGTATCCTTGGAGCTCGATGGGGAGGCCCTCTAGTAGCCGTTCTGCTTTTCCCCCTCCTCCACTTCCAACCACTCCTCTATCGGAAGAACTCCATCTGGCCCTTAGTCAGAGGTCTGCCCGCCTTAAGGATGCTCTCCCACCAGGAGACGGTCGCATGGGAGGGGCACGTCCACTGCCCTCTGCTCCTGCCCCCAACCACAAGGCTGCTCTCCCCTTGCCTCCGAGGGACAAGCTCCTGTATCCCCTCCTCCTTGCAGGACGCTTACATCTCAACCTGGTATGAGGCCGTTTTCACCCCAGAATGGCGCTTAGGGAAGGTTGATTACTCCCGGCCTGCTGTACCTGACTGCAAATCCATGCACGGGGCTGCTTTCCCTCCCTACTCTTGTCACGAATCATGGGTAGTGTGAATGGTGAGCAGGAGTGAATCACCAGTAAGCGAGCTGAAGAGAGGCCATGCAGAGGTCCTGGCAAGAGCCCCGGAGGATTATGGACTTGTTTACAACTTTAAGAAAAGAACTGTGTGAAATAAAAGAACTGTGTATGTGGCTGAGGCAGCGTTTCCAGCATTTGCAGATAAGAAAAAAAAGTAACAATGGAAGAATCTAACCAAGGACAGACCATAGTTTCTTACTCCTGGTGAGACAAGAAAAATTGGGTGGTGCAAAAACCGGCTGTTTCTGGATCGGTCATGAACGCGAGTAAGAAGAAGGGGGTGTCACTAACGGACATCACCCCATTTGGACTGTGTGCAACCAGTGGATGGCATCCCACCCGACTGGCCTCTGCCGAGGGGATAGATACCACACCATTTTGCCCCAGGAGTTGGAGTTCATCCATGTTACCATGCACGTTGGACTTACACAACCAAATTAACTGACATTACCTGGGGTCTGGCCAGCCCCAGAGGGTAAGTGTGTGTAAGAGTGTGAGTGTGTTAAATCAGATTAAGAATTATGCTGCTAAATTGGGTTAAATATTATATTTAAATTGTTTAGTATTCCATTTAATTAATGCTTTTAATGCCTTTTTATGCTTGCAATGCCTTTTAATGTCTTTCACTGTTTGTTTTAATTGTTTAAGTACTAAATATACATATACATATAGGCTGTGTCTAGACTGGCAACTTTTTCCGCAAAATCAGATGATCTTGCGGAAAAACTTGCCAGCTGTCTACACTGGCCGCTTGAATTTCCACAAGAACACTGACGATCTCATGTAAGATCATCAGTGTTCTTGCGGAAATACTATGCTGCTCCTGTTCGGGCAAAAGCCCTCTTGCGCAAATCATTGTAAACAGCACAGTACTGTTTTGCGCAAAAAAGCCCCGATGGCTAAAATGGCGATCGAGGCTTTTTTGCGCAAAACCGCGTCTAGATTGGCCACGGATGCTTTTCCTCACAAAGTGCTTTTGCGCAAAAGCGTCCTGCCAATCCAGACGCGATTTTCCGAAAATGCTTTTAACGGAAAAGTTTTCCATTAAAAGCATTTCCGGAAAATCATGCCAGTGTAGACGTAGCCATAGTGCTTTTAAAATTTCCTCCTGAATTGCTTGCAATAAGCTTGTCAAGGGTACAATCTGTCTACTGTGGATCTCTTGTTGAGCGGGTTCTAAATACACGATCAGAATCTCTGTTTGCTTGGCTTGATCATCCGAGCAGCAGCAGCGCCCTCTTGTGACAGTTCGTGGAGAATGCGGGTAAAGACAAAAGAATCCACAGTAAAAGCACTGGTGTATATCAGGGAAGGAATTGGCTGATAAAGTGATAAGAAAGGAGTGTGTTGTTAGAAATATTTGACTACATGGGGCTGTCTGTATGCTGAAATACCCTGAGTCAAGCAGAAGTAGAGAGGGGAAGAGAATAAGAGGGGGATAATGTTCCATAATAAAGGAAAGGGGATCAAAGAAAAGAGGTGGATTTTGTGGCAGTGGCCAAATTGGTGTCAGCTCCATCAAGTTGGGAAAAGTGGCTCTCAAAGGATGGACAGTCACCATGGGCCGCTCATCCCGAATTGATAAAAGGCATATCTAAATGTGAAGATCCAGAGAATACCTTTGACAAGTATGAATGGATGTATAAACCAGGACAAAAGGATGGTTTAGCAGCAGCTGTGTCGCTTTCATATGCTGCAGCAAAGGAAGGATTTGAGTGTTGGCAGTGCGAAGAGGAGTGAACCAAACAATTGCAGGTTGATTTGGGAGCGTATAAGCAAGAGCTTGAGATAGAAAAAGGTCATTTAAGAGTAGCTGTAGGACAACTAGAAGAAGTCAGCGGAAAACTGAGGAAAGAGAGAGAAGTGAAGGAGATACGGGAACACGAAGTTGAGAATTTAAGTGGCAGAATTGGTGCCAGGATTACAGTTCCTAGTGCAAAAATTGAGTTTGCTAAATTACTGAGGGACAAAACTTGTGTCCATGGAAATGGGACATTCAGCAGAGAAAGCAGAATTAGGCACAGACAAATAAGAAGCCAAATAAGCAAGTAAGAGTGGGTGAAAGGGTTAAAGCCCCTAAGGGGGCATTTGAAACTTAAATTATTGGAAAATTACTGGAAATGGTCATATTTAAACTATTGGCGCTCCTTACCAGCACAATCAGGTGCCCCCCCATAGGTTGGCACCCCGGGAAGCTGCCCGGCTACCCTGCCCCTTAATCCAGCCCTGCCTGTTTGTAAAATCCTGAAGTCTGTGTCCCTGGTTCAAAATGATCCGACGAGCCTTGCTACCATGTCAAGACTGTTCCGCACCTTCTGCACTCAGACTGCCAGAGTGGGGAGTGCCAGAGACCTTACAGATACCTTGCCTCTCTCGGCTTCTGCTTCAAACCTCCCCAGGGGGACAGGTTCCCAGGCCTTCGGAAACAGGCTGCCACCACCTGAGTGAGAAAAACCCTTTTCTTCTTGAACCCAGGAAGAAACACTTGGAACGTCTTCCAGAGGGGTTCCCCAGCTCTTAACACAAGAGAGCTCGAGAGGAGACAAAGAAAAACTGCAACCCTATTACCTCCTCTTACCTTCTAAGACACAAGAATCAAATCATCGCCTTAAAAAAGATGATTTATTAAAAACAAAACAAAAATATACTTGATAAAGCAGACTTGATTGCTCTGTGTTTCAAAGTAACTGAGAAAAGAACAAAGTAAAACACAAAGAAACTCATCTCTGGGATTCATCTCTGGGATTCAATTCAAGATGAGTGTACGGATGAGACTGGGGTGGGGGAGGGGCAATTGGACTTAGTACAGAGAAGTTTAGCTAAACAACAAAAATAACCTCTCTACTCACGTACCTGAGCTTCAGGATCCAGCCCATTTCCATGCCATCCATTCTTTGCAGGCACAGCACTTCTGCCTTGTTCCATTCATCTTCTTTCCCCAGCTCCTGCAGTGGGGTCGGAGCTGAGATAGCAGTTTGAGGTGTGAAGGGGTGAAGGCTCCAGCCTCGGGGTGATCTCAAGGATGGAGGGGTGTGAGGTGTAAGCCACTGAAAGGCTGCATCTGGGAGAGAAGACTCCCACCATATCTCTCCCCCAGTCTAAGGCGCTGCTACGAGGAAGGGGGGTAGGAAGACATTCTCCCTGCCACTGCAGCTCTGGGGCCAAGGCCATCCTGCTGACCATGGTCACGGCCGGAGTTGAGACCAGTGGGCAGAGGCACCTCTCCTCACCAAAGCCCTAAGTGCTTGTGTGCTATTTCATAGGCTGCAGCACAACGTGGACACATTAAAGGGAACGATCTAGCCCACGGACAGCATCTGGCCACTTTCTATTTATATCCTGTTGCCACTGCCACCAAATTTCCAGGTGGGGGCTTAAGGAGCAGGATCCTATCAAAATGGCTCATGGTTCACGGTCGCTGTGTGAATGTGGCAGAAACCAGAGCCGCGAGAATTTTAAAAAGCTGCAGCAAACCCGGCATCTGCCAGGCAACACAAAAGCTTCAGGGCAGGAGGGAAGGGGGATTTGAGCCCTTATCTGTGTGTTTATATCCAAGTGTCTGGCCCCACACAACTTTGGGGGCAGGTTGAACTCCAGCCCCACCCTTTCTGGGTGGGAATGCAGCTGGCCTGGGACCACATAGAAAATGTAATTAATTAGACCGTATAAAAAATGATTGTCCACCACTATTATAGGCTCTGTCCTCTGTGGGTTCTCCTATGGGTAACAAGGTTTGACCTCCGACTGAAGCTTTTCCCACAGTCTGGACAGCTGAAGGGTCGCTCTCCTGTGTGGATTCTCCGATGTCTCACAAACTCTGAGCTCTGACGGAAGCTTTCCCCGCAGTCAGAGCAGCTGAAGGGTCTCTCTCCTGTGTGGGTTCTCCTGTGAGCAACAAGGTTTGAACTCACACTGAAGCTTTTCCCACAGTCAGAGCAGCTGAAGGGCTTCTCACCTGTGTGGGTTCTCTGGTGGGTAACAAGGCATGAACTCTGACGGAAGCTTTTCCCACAATCAAAACAGCTGAAGGGTCTCGCTCCTGTGTGGGTTCTTCTGTGGATAACAAGGTGTGACTTCTGATGGAAGTGTTTCCCGCAGACAGAGCACACAAAAGGTTTCTCTCCTGTGTGGGTTCTCCTGTGTCGAACAAGGCGTGAACTATCACTGAAGCTTTTCCCACAGTCAGAACAGCTGAAGGGCTTCTCTCCTGTGTGGGTTCTACGATGGGTAATAAGGTATGACTTCCGACTGAAATGTTTCCCACAGTCAGAGCAGCTGAAAGGTTTCTCTCCTGTGTGGATGCTTCGATGTCTAACAAGCTCTGAACTCTGATGGAAGCTTTTCCCGCAGTCAGAGCAGGTGAAGGGTTTCTCTCCTGTGTGGATCTTCCTGTGTCTAACAAGGTTTGACCTCTGACGGAAGCATTTCTCGCAGTCAGAGCATTTGAAGGACTTATCTCCTGGGTGGGTTATTTCCTGTTCACTAAGGGTTGTACAGATGCTACAGGCGCAGGGTGCATATTGATGGGGAACGTTGGGTTGAATGGTTTCTGTGTTTCCTTTCTCCCCTTTGCTCCAGTGACTGGATTTACCCTGTCCCTCCCTTGCATGGTTTCCCTGCTGCCGTCCTAGGCTACGCTGATTCTCACAGGTCTCTCCCTGCTCAGGACTCCGGGAGACATGCCCTTCAGATCTTCCCAGGAACATCCCTTCCATCACCTGCTGGGATAGAGAGAGAATCCAGACAGGAGTCATTTTCTGTGCTGAGCTGAAAGGAAAACTCTGAAAGGAACAGAAAAGGGGGAACACACCCAACGAATGGCTGGAAAGGAGGAATAATCATGAGCTGAGTTCATCCTCCTTCCTCACAACCCTTTCCCAAAGGACAGAGCCCAGCATTCCCCCCCACACCCTCTGGACTGGAGTGGATCACAGGCTGATGGGTCAGTTAGACTTGATGGAAATGCAGAAGTGATACCCGGTATGAGGACACAGAAATTGGTTTCTGAGTCAGTTTAGCTGTTTGCTCACCCGTGTGGGTGTTGCTGATGGTGCCTCCTTCCTCAGAGCCCTGGAGATCCGGGATCATCCACTCTGGGATCCGTGATCCTCCCTCGCTCCACCCAGGAGATCATGTGAGTTTTGGAGACTTGAGTGAGTGCTCTGCTGCACTCTCTAGGCTACAACTCAGTCTCCCTCATGGCCCACCCCATCCCAGGACAGGACAGGACCACACTTCTCAGAGGAGAGGTCTGACACTGAGGCCCATATACCGGGCTAAGACTGCAGCTGCCACATGGCAGGTCACTAGGACGTGGAGAGAAAAGCCCCAGTAGTGCTCTGGCTCCCCAAGGGCTCTGCCCACACCGCTCCTGACTGGGGGGCTCGGCTCGCCCTGTTCTGGGGGTCTGGGGCTCTACTAGAGCCAGGAGGCAGCAGAGGAAGTTGTCTGAGCAGCGAAATGTATCCTTGGCTGGCTGCTGCAGGCCATGCCTACACTGC